GCTCGTGATAGCATGTGCGTAGCGATGTACCTGACAATTTGCAATCGAAATAAAGACATAATAATAAGAAGAATATCAAGAAGAAGGAGAGCACAAATATTGCTTATGGCCTTTTGTGGAGCAGTGGCTGCTACCTCTGTACAGAGGAATGTGTGGGTGCGGAGTCGGAGCCAGGACTGGTGGGATTCCGTGAGGGGCTTCACAGACACAGAATTCAATAATAATTTCAGAGTGAGAAGGGAAACGTTATCACCACCTGAATCACCGTTGTCTGCCATGTTTTTATTACCCCTCGCCTCCTCCAGCGCAGAATTGTGACGTCTGTCGCTTTTCATTGACATAAAAATTACATGAAATGTTTTGGCCATTCAGACTGAAGTCGCATTGCAAAACATCGGATACGTATCCGATTTAGGACCACATATGAAAGTGGCCTGGGTCGGATTTGAAAAAATTGGATTTGTGCTGTTCCCACTGTCATAAGGAAATCGGATATGGGTCGCATTTGGGCAAAAAGATCGGATTTGAGTCACTTCCGCCTGCAGTGTGAACGTGGTCTTAACGATGTCGTGGGGAGGTATTTTATCAGACTCACGGGTTTTTGAGTGGAGCCCTGATTCATTAACATGTTACTGAAATCGGAGCGTACGCGTGAGCTCTGTGTTTAACAGAAGAAATTAAGAAATGAACTGTAAAAATTGAAAAGCCTTTTAACCAAGTGTGCCTTATCTAGCCCCCTTTCACATGTGTGAAACGCTGTTTTGCGTAGCGCTCCTATTTTGGTTTTAGGCTTTAAGGGTTAGAGATATAGTTAGGTTAAGAGGAAATCTAACATGTCATTGGGAAAAGGACTTCAACAACATTGACGTTTTGCCCTGTTTTTCTGACTTGACACTGAGGTAGGCTGTCCCTTGTATTGTTGCCTACGTTTGTGTTGTCATACTGTGGTGGACAGAATGTATAATGCAGTGCGACACTAACTGGCAGCTTCTTTTGTGAGAGGGTGTCACAGGTAACAGTCACTGTGTTTAAATGTTAGCTAAGTATACAAATTCACTTCCTCATTGTCTGATATGATGGTGAATGGTCTGTTTGCTGTGGATCATTTTTGGAGATGGCTTTTTTTTTTCTTTTTAAGTTGGTGTTGCCGATTTGGTTTTGCTTTTATTTGGAATTATTATGGGGAACACGGTAGTTAGCTGCTGCTTCAAACCGAGAAGGTTCCGTGTTTGAGCCCAGGCCGCAGGATGTTGGTAGTGACTTAAGATCACCTGTGCTACCTGGAAGACCCCGCCCACCTTTAAGTATAGATATACAGTATATACACTAGATGACGCATCGGAGCTACTGAGATGCGTCGTCTCACTATGCTGTGTATAAATACTGTACTTGAATCAAGTAAAATATGAGGGAAATATGAACATTTCACTACAAATGTAATTAGAAGAGAATTGTGTAGCCTGCGAAAATACTGCAAGTTTGTTGTAATTGTGTATTCTGGCAGCCATTTTACAGTCCAGGGGGGTGGCAGGATCGTTGCCTTTTAATAATTAGTGTGTACGTCCTATATTATACAAATATTTTATTACAAATTGCAAAAGATTGTCTTGATATGAAAATCTGCATTTTTAATTTAACCAAACGTCCTGTATCATTAACACATCCTGTATCTCTGGGGTTTGTAACAAACCAAACAGCTGGAAAAGCGGCTGTAAATTCAGTGAGGCGTTGTGAGTTTAGTGTGGCTCCTTCCTTCATTACCAAACTTTAAGAGGTGCAACCTCGCCCCTGGGAACATGGCGAGCGTTTCACTGACATCCAGTGGCACCTGCTGCCTTACGCAGCGTGCGTACGTTCTTTAATGTTGGTCAAGTTTTACGCCACTGTGCGGTCACTGTACGATCAATATACAGTATGCATAGAGAAATATAGGCTTAGTTTTAATTTATGACACGAGGAGCAATCTATTATGATAACGCACATCCCTAGTGTGGATCGCATTTCTACTTTCTAATGTGACCCCTGCAGCTTTATGACACGAGGAGCAATCTATTATGATATCACACATCCCTGCAGCTTGGAGCGAGTGACAGCAGCGCACACACTGACGTGACGCGCAAGCGCATGGAATGGTGGGGAGAGGGGGACTACTGAGCTGAATGAGCTAATGGTCAGCGTACACGTCGCACTCACTCCAAGCTGTGCAAGGCACAGGTTATTACGAGAAAACACAGTACGCATGCTTTAATGACAAAATAGCCCACAGTATGTCCTTATAACGTGAATGTTTTAAAGTGAAAGCGTCTCGTAAAAACGAACAAAGTAGCTTGACAAAATGCGAAAAGTTTCTTGTGCTATTGTGAAATATAATCCTGCAGACATTCACACAGCTTGAAGCTTGACGACGCAGATCTAATACTGCCCTGTGATAAAACCACAACGCTACACTTTGTATCCTCTATGACCTTAAGTGTTAGAGGAAAAAGAAAAACTTCCGGTTACAAGTTTCACCAACGACATCAATTTGATCTTGTTGTATGGGTGCCAGGAAACTAGGAACATTTGTCTTCTTGACAATGCATGGAGCCGAAAATATTACTGTGTATAACTTTAACCTGATTGAAAACTGATCCCACTACCTCCCAAACAGTGATCTTAAAAAAAAAAAATAAACTGGACTACATTGTTTAACTTTATATCTTAAGAAAATTATTCCAACTCCAACCTGTATAGACAAGTTTGAGTATGTAAAAATTACTGTAGTATGCAAAATTACTTCTAGATGAATATTGCATAGCCTCATTACATTTTTGCACTTTACATTTCATATCTTTAATTGCTGATTCAGTAAAATATCTGAATATACATACATTAACTTTACATGTACAATAAGTTTAAAATTATGCAGGAAGACGCACTGACAGTCTGAGACCAAGCAAAGCACACTATTTTAGAAGGTTCACAAAATGTTCTGTTGTGAACAGATTGTACATTAACTTTACATGTACAATAAGTTTAAAATGATGCAGGAAGATGTACTGACAGTCTGAGACCAAGCAGAGCACACTATTTTAGAAGGTTCACAATATAATGTTCTGTTGTGAACAGATTAGAGGCACGCACACACACACACACACACACACTTTAAAATTCTTTAAGGTTGACTATAACAGTATTTACACAGACATGCACAAACACATATACAGTACATAACCAAAAGCGCCTCCAGATTTTTGCTGAAAAACTATGGGGAACAATAACGTGCATTCAGCATTAAGCTAAATCGCCATACATGTGCACAAAATTTCAAACCTTTCAAACAAATGACAGCCAGTAGTTTGTGCAATAATTTTACATGACATGCATTTAAAAAAAAAAAAGTTCACCAGTAGGCAGAAGCCAGTGATACAAAAGCTTTTGCAAAAATATTTAATATGGAAATGCTAACAACAAAAAAAAAACTATACAATAGTCATACAAAAATACATATACATTTTGTTGTGTGCTGTGGTAATACTGAAATGGAATGCATTTGCAAGGTTCTGCCATTCTCCCATTGTAAGTATAGACCAAAAAGAGAAATTTAAGGTTAAAATTAAGCTACCTGTTGACCACCAAAACTATAGTTCGATACACATTTAAACCCTTTACCCACAAAACAATCCATACAGTGTTCAAAGAAAGGCGTCCATGTTCTAGTTACTTTGACCAGGCCCTGTGTGTGTTAATCATAAAATAAATAATCCTCCATATACTCTGGTTACTTTGAGGTCAAGTCGTCTCTGAAGAGAAAAAAAGAAAACAAAAAAAATATCCCCAAAACACAATAACCGCTATAAGATTCACTTAGTTTTTGCAGGACTGTTTGAGATTGGTGTGTTTCTTATAAGTCTGCTGCTCAGAGATGTTAAAACATGCGCCTTTAAATGTCTGACAGTTCCCTCATCAAGCCAGCAGAGCGTGCTGGTGTTCTTTGATCAGTGTTCTTGATCATCATACCTGTCCAATAGCTTCCTGTATCTCCTCTCTGATGCCATTGAGCTCCATCACCGCATCATTAAGCACACTTGCCACCGCCTTTATTTGACCCACTATCTCTTTCTTGCAGCCTTTCTTTAGTTCCCGGGTGTCCTTGATGAAGTACCTGTCCATGCCTTTGAAGAGCCCTTGGATCGAGGCTACAGCCTGGTCTGTCGCTTCTGTCCCTCGCATCACTGACAAGTCGACTAAGCCGATCATCTGCACGGCCTTACGGATTTCCCAGTCCTCAGAGTAGTGTTGGGTGCCAGACCTGAGGAAAGGATGGCCACGGAGTTTGTACAAGCCCTGATTCACAAAGTGAAGGATCTTACCGATGTCCAGCAGGTTAACCTCATATTCCCTCAGCACTGTCTCCACCTACAGAAGGAGAGGGAAGATTGTGGTCTTGGGTTAAACACTGGGGGGTAGGGCTACAACTTGCTGCAGCTCTGACTGTTGCACATCAATATAGCTACTGCAAATTAACTGCATGTGAACAGAATTTGAAGGAGACAAACTGCCAGCTTACCTTCTTCCGGTCATTCATGTTGTTAACGTTATCTGAAATGGCTGCTGAGGCTGAAGCAATTCCACCAGCTGCTGCCACACCCACACCAACAGCTGTAACTACAAGAGAGGCACCAAAGGTGAAGGGTGCCAAAGCCAAACCAGCAATGGCTGTTGCACCACCCACAGCTGTGGTGGTGCCGCCTGTAATGCCGGCAATCCTGGCCTTGTGGTGGAAGTCATTGATGTCATCGGCAACAGTGTTGAGTGTGATGATGGACTGCCAGAGGACCTCAGCTCGCTCTGTGAAGACTTTGTTGAAGACGCACAGGCCGCGTTGAACTTTGTCCGCCAAGATGGTGAATGACCTAGAATTGATTTGAAAACCAAAGCAAAAAGTTATCACAGTACCAAATCAACCATTTTACAGCCCCCAAATTTAGATAAGCAAATGTACTTTGACTCATCCTTGTTTATGATGTCCTCATCGTCTGATGGTACCTCATCCCATTCTGAAATGCAATCAAGCAAGAGATGTTGATTTAAAAAAAAAAAACCCCACCAAGTGTTTTTATTGCTTAGTTTGAGTTGTCTTGTACTCATTGTAACTCACGTTCCACAGTGTACCACCATTCCATCAAACTGTCAGTATCCTGTGACCAAAACAAAAAAACATTATGGTTCACATTTGAGCATCACACTGTTAAAAATGGAAATGGATGTTTGCGACATAGAATGTGTGTATGCATAGTCACTGTTAAAAGAAACTAACCCCATCCTCATCTTCATCCTCCAAACCAGCAATGGTACGTTCATCTCTCTGAGCAGCCAGCCACTCTGCCTGTGTGAAGGGAAGGATGGATGCAACAAACAAGCCAGTGAATATGTCAGTAGGTCTGTGCTACATATGTGCCAGTCATCAAAAGGTGGAAGGGTTTGTATTGCCATAGAAAGGCTTCGGCGTGGCGTTTTTGGGGACTGCCTAAGCTAAATGAAAGTAAAAAGGTGACAAATCAAAATGAACATAAAGTGAGTTATATGCACCAAATAACAGAGGTGACTTGACCTCAAAATGAAATGCAAGCTGCCAACATGAGTCACCTGTCAAACAAGTGTTTGGATGAATGTGATTGGCAGCATCGCCAAGCTAAAAATCACACAGCTGATTGGATATTTCTCTGTACTGTCAACTCAAGATGGTAGTTACAGCCATCGATAAGGTTAGCAAAGAATACAGGAAGTAAGCTACAACTTTGCTGGTGAGTATTTCTTGTGAATGGTAACAGAGGTAAATTAATGTACCTCATTTTCCATGTAAAGGAATAGGAACTCATGTAAACATCCTGAATTAGGCAAGTTACTTTAAGCCAATTCGTTCATTAAACGTTAAGTATGAATTTCCTTTAAATACTACCACCCAAAAATAATCAATCTGAAGCCTCAGACCCATCTGAAAACCCTGTGCTGACAGTTTAAGGCCTTTGTATATTTTAAGCTTTTTCTATGGTCTACTGTGTGTTTTTGGCATGGTATTGTCTGTATGTACACTATGCTGCTCAACCAACCCAGCCACATCAAAGGAATGTCTCCTATCAGGATCAAGTGACGAAGTTAAGTAGTGGGGTGTTTCCCATTATAGGAGCCTACCAAAACATGTCACACAGAGTACCACTTGTCTTGGGTTCTGCGTTTGCTTCCACTATGGTGCACCTGCTTTGGAGGTGCATTCTGGGATCAAAACTTCAGCACACCTCAGGAGGTAGTACTAAAATCAAGTACCAAGGCCATGTGCAGAGCAGAGATTGGTTAAATAGCCACATCTTTACACCGCAAGCATTAGGATTATAAGCAACGTGTGTGAACACACTGCTGAGTGCATGTGTGGGAGAGGAGCAGCCCCTCCCTGCTCTAAACAGAGAAAACTGTGGGAGAAAAATAAAAACAAACCCCGGAGGTTATGCTAGGTGATGTTTAAGGGAAGTACAGGGTCTACAGCTCATGCAGCACAAGTCAAAATAGTTTTACTAATGAGCTGAAATCAGAGTGCTCCTATAAATAGGTTCTGCATAGGGACTGTTGAGAACAGTGAATTTCCTATTTAAACCCAATTGGTTGACAGTGCCACCCAAAGCTCAACGGCATCTCAAAAAGTAACGTACTGTACATAAACAGGGAGTAAATGCATACAGAGCAGTACAAGGTTGTTTCCTCCTGTGTTTGACACACCTGGCCAATAAAGCCGATTCTGATTCTAAAGCTGAGCCAACAAGTAACTTTCCAAGTCAGGGCCCACTCACTAGAAAATCTGAGACCAAAAACAAGGTATGTTAGTCAAATTCATCAAAGTAAATGGTGTTTTGCTACATCACGAGTTATTCGGTTGAAGGTTTAAGTGAAGTAAACATTGAGGGGTTAGATAAACAATGGAAACTGGATCATTTGAAACTAAACAGTCAGACATTCCAGTCTGATTGGTATCACTGACTGAACAAACCACATTTAACGCCAAGTTGTAGTCAGGAAAGCTCAGATGGAATTCAGATATGTTGCAAAAGTTTTTCCACTTTGAAAGATGTCAGCCAACCTTAGCAGCCTCAGACAGGTAGTCACTAGACGTAGCCCCTGGTGAATCTTCAACCTCTAGAAGCGCAGCTTTGCTCTGGCAGGACAGAGATCATTTCATTTTTAAACAACTGGACAGCAATAGGAGCAAAATCTCTCCCTGTAGCCAGGAATTAGACCATGCACCCACCTTTGTTTTGTGTTTGATGCCTTTGGGTTTTGAAGACTTTGTCTGCTAAAAAAAAAAAGTTGACTTTTTTTTTTTATCTGAAAAAGCAGCAGCAAATGTGGACATCATGATGACAAGAATACCGGTTTGCAGGTATCTGCTTCATCATCTTCTGTGTCATACATCTCTGCAGGACTCATGACCTCTTTTCCTGCAAGTTCATCCTCAAACCCATCCTGTCAAAACAGAATACAAAATGAGGCCAAAACTACAGAACAGTTCAACTGAGATGTGCATTAAACCAACAAACATAGGATGTCTGCAGTGGTAGGTGGTGGCTGAATCCTGCCTGTTCACTCTGTCCAGCTGTATTGTAGATGGTCTTGGAGTTACATTTACTGGGACCTTTGTGTTTGGGTTTTTTCTAATTAAAGAAACAAGCAAAAATGACAGTTTCATCCCCACCACAAAGTTAAAGGAAACAATTGTTACAAAACACTGGTTTTGGTATTAAAATACCAGTTTGCCATCCTCCATCCAGGTTAGTTCATCATTTAACTCTTCCACTGAGAAGCTCTTTTTCTTGTTCTGAGGACTGGAGCGATCCAGCATGTACTCCTTTTTATAAAACCAAAACAAACAAACCACTTAATTGAACAGATCTACCATTTCCACTGCATGAAAAAAAAAACAAAAAAAAAACTGCCACATTTACCTGAGAGCTATGACGAAAGCGTGGCAGTTTCAGCTTTCCTTGCTTCTTCTATTGATGAAGGGGAGAAGAAAAAAAAAAAACTCAATAAGTGAAAGCATAGGGAACAAAAGGTTAAAAAAAAAAAAGTATTAAAGAGAAAATTACAGGTTTGCAGTCTTCCACTCCATAAATATCTCCATTTAGTCCAGGAGAGGAAAGACCGTGTGCTTTCTCCATGTGCTCAACGTCCATGACAGCAGCCTGAATAACATATTCAAAACAGTTACTCTTGCTACAGAGTAGGTAAATGCAACACATTCACATCCAAAATCATACCGGTACAGTAAAAACACTGCTGCATAGAGAGCTACACAATGTTCAGAGTTTAAAATATCTAAATCACTTTTTTGGGGTAAAACAAAAGAAAATGTTTGAGCCACAGCAAGTTAACAGGTGCGGTCAATTCATGTTTTCTGTTTCAAAACGCAAAAAGTAGCCATAAGCTAGGAATTCCATCCATCCATTATCTATGCCACTTATTCCTGAACAGGGTTGCGGGGGGGGCCCCAATGTCAGCCAATCCCAGCTGACACTGGGCAAGAGGTGGACATGTAGACATACAACCACACTCGCTCACTCCAACGGGCAACTTAGAGTCACAAATCGACCTAAGCTGCATGTCTCTGGACTGTGGGAGGAAGCCGGAGTACCCAGAGAAAATCCACGCAGGCAACGGTGAGCATGCAAACTCTACACAGAACGAGCCCAGGCCGCAGGAACACAGAACCTTCTCGGTTTGAAGCAACAGCTAACTACCATGTTGCCCATAATAATTCCAAATAAAAGCAATATCAAATTGGTAACACCAACTTAAAAAAAAAAAAAAAAGCCATCTCCAAAAATGATCCACAGGAAACAGACCATTCACCATCATATCAGACAATGAGGAAATGAATTTGTATACTTATATAACATTTAAACAGACAGTGACTTACCTGTGACTTCTTAATGGACGGGCTGAAAACTTCATCTTGCAGCTCCTGAGGCAAAAAAAAAAAAAAAAGTTTAAATGTTACACTGCAAACACACAGATCATACTGAAATTGATGTAGTCCTACCTTTGAACTCACTCGAGGTCTAGACCCCTGCACCCCCTTCAGTTTATCATCATTCTGGAGAGAATTTTAATATGAGGTATTCACAAGGTATAAACATATGCTGTGAAATGAAGAACTATAGAGCACAGTAGGGGTGTGACACCTTTTCTAATGTGATGGTGAATCCCCTGTGTGGCACAAACCCGATTTTCATCTTCTTTTTTCCCTTCTGAAGAGAGAAAGGTTTAGGTTTCCCAAATCAATACATGTCAGAGCATTCAAAATTCTCCATTTAAATGCTCCAAAACTCACACAATGCTCTTCGATTTAAGACTCAAAACACTTCATTCAAAACCAGCAGCTCCACATTAGTCACTTTAGGCTGAGCGGTCATGACTATTGCCATGTTTTCAATCACGGTACACACTTTTTAAAGATAAAACATATACAAGATAATGGCTGTCAACCTCTCCATGTGTGGATACCCCTTCCTCTTCACCAGTGGTATTATCCAACACAGTCCCCTCCTGAACATGAAACACCATTATTTTTACCAATTTTGAAAACTGACATCTCTCTTATGGAATGGTTTTCTGTCTTCAGAGTTGGACTGCAGATAACTTTACCTCTGACCGTTGCATGGAGTTTTTCTTGATGCCATCATCCTACAGGAGCATTACACAGAAAGAGCCATTAATGCTGTGGCAACGATAGGCTTGGATGACACTATTGTGGCAAATTAAAAGACGATAAGGACAATCTGAATCAGTGTCCTTCCACAAAACCACACACTTGTCCTTCAGATAACTTACCTTTGACTCCTGAGGTAAGTGTCCATTCATGTGCTTTTTCTCGAGCACAGGAGAAGAAGTGGATGTTTTTCTAAGCAGTTGGTTGACTTTAGTTTTCACTGTTTTTTTCTGGTCACAGAAGTTAAACCACTGCTGGTTTAATAATGTTACATGAATACATTACAACACACCGTGTTTAAAAAAAAAAAAAAAAAGTTACATTACTTGGTACTCCATCCCATTCTGTTCTCCATCTTCACTGTCTCCTGTTGACAGGTTTGTTTCTGAAAAATACTCCTGAAAGACAGTAATAAATTTGAGCCAATTTTACTTCTGGATCATTTGAATAGGGTTTACACTATAGCAAGCAGGGCATAATTTATCCAAACTAGAATGTTTGATAAACTCCCCATCACAAAAGCCAACTACTGTTTCAGCCACATTTTTGCCTTTAGTCCAAGTCATAGAGGGGCAGACAGGCAACCAGAGACGGATCTGCAATAAATGTCAATGGCTGGACTCAAGCTGCTAATGTCACACACGCACTGTGCACCACAACGTAACCATTCAGTTAGACATGCCTCTGCTAAACTTATTTCAAGTATTTCTTTGACCGGCCTCCTGGCATTAGAGGTAGAACCAGAAGTTTATCTTTCGTTCTTCTCCCTCTATGTTCATTTGCATTGTATCTCACCATAACAAAACAAAAAGGTGACTGTTACCTTTGATAATGTACGACTGGGAAGCATACCGATCCTCCCCTTTGTGTCATCAGGAAACTTAACCTACAAAGTAAAAATCATTACAATGGCAAACACAACCAAAGCAGGGAAGCTGCTATTTTGCAGCAATTCATTTACCTTTGAGCCTCTTAAGGAGGGCAGGGACAGTCTTGATTTCCTCTCCTTTTTCTGTAAGAAAAGGTTGTAGTATAATTCGAGGTGAAGCTACATGCAAGAAGATATTGACAACCACAGAGCAGAGTTAAGACTGTCACATATTACCTTTCTCAGACTTCCAGAAGCATCCTGATCCTCACCACTTCCTCCAGATTCTGCTCTCTAAGAGAAAGTCTTTAGTTTCTCTTATGTACTGAAAAGAAAATGCAAACTAGAAAAATGAACCATCTCCTACCTTTGTTGACTCTCGCCGCAGTCCGGGGGGGGGGGGGGGGGGGGGGGGGGCAGAGTTAGTATTCCAGCCTATTTAGTTCATTACATTTTGTCAATAGATTCTTACTGGTTTGAAGTGAGGGCTCAGCTCAGGACTGTCCTCAGGCCAGTCTTCCACACACTGTTCCTGTTTTGGATTTTAATAGAACAGCCTTTTAAACAGAGCTCTGCATTTCTCCCAAAATGTTTTATAATACAGTATGTTCATCTTTTGCCATAGCAACATTGATAGCCACTTGTGTTTACATTTTTATTTTGCCGCCATCAAGCAGACGTGTCCGTATGATATAGACCACACTAATGGCCACTGAATTTACCGAGTACATTCATGCTTCCATGAGGATGTCTGGTTTTCACACTGGACACACCATCTCCTCTTATGTCAGTTCTGAGAATCTCATTATCTAACCAGCAGAGTGCCTTGACATTTAACAATGGGAAGAAACCATTTGTTTCCAAGGTCCCATCTTCTGCAGCACCCTAAACAGCAAAACAACTTAACACGTCCATATTATTGGAAATAATACACTTTGGAGACTCCCATCTTTCAGTGCCGTCTCTCCATCTCTATCCTCCCTTTTAGTCTCTGGTGTGTTAATTGTTTTCTTATTAGTAGTCAAAATCACTTTCCCACCCTTTTATTAAAACTTACCTGCCCAAGAAGCAGGATGTCCTCAAAAACGACATAGTTATCAGGTTCCACTGGTTTATTGTCCTGCAAAAGAGAAAATATGATCGCTGAATAACCCTTTCCTATCCACAGTGTATCCAACACACTTTCAATACAACCTTTTGTCATTAGATATGTACAGTACAATCTGAACAAATTCTTGCTCAAGTTAAGTTAAAAATCAAGCAGCAGGCAGCGTACCGGAGTTTTGGGTTTGCGATGAATCACCGGTTTTGGGGGCAGTCTGGGGACTAGTTTTGGAGATGTTTTCGGTACTGGTGGCTCAGATACAACCTAACCACAGTTCAAAAAATGGAAAGATCATCAATAGTACAGCATATATGGTAGGAAGAATATTTGAGTTCAATATAAATATTCTAAATTGTCTTATTGGTATACAAGCTTTGCTGGTGTTGGTGGCTTTTCTAGGGTTGGTGACATTTCCATCTTTGGTGGTCTAGAGCGAGGAAGCGGCTTTGGTGGACGTTTGAAGGTTGGCACCTGCAAGTTTGATTGATCCCAGTTAAGAAATGCATGTCTTAATGATCAGAGAATGTTTTAAAGCAATATTTTGGTTGGATGCCCTGTACTGCACTAAAAATGTCTGTACACATCAAATGCCGCCTGTTACATACGTGAGACATTTCAGTTGGAGAGTGGTGAGGCGACATCGCCAGATTCCGGGCCCGAACAAAGGGAGTCGGCTGAAGAATATTATGTTTGGTTCCCTTAGGGGTCGTCAAAACAACATCATCTGGCATGTTGAAGGACTCTGGTTGGATGGCTGGAAGAGATGGTGTTGCCTGGAAAAGATCTGAAGGCGATGACATGTCCAACTTCATTTCCGATGGACTGTGGACTGTAAGTGCAGAGTGTGTGGCCTTAGAGGCTGCAGCGTTGGGAGTTCTTGCAAAAACATCCCTGCTGTTAGTCTTCAAGGGAAATGGTTGCAAGATGTCTGGAGTCCCTTTTGAAACATCTTGGAAAGGGTCATATTGTTTAGGAGTAGTACTAAACGGGTCATCCAAACTAGAGATGTCTTGGAATAAATCCCTTCTAATTGGATTTGGGAATGGATCGACTGGATTTGTTGATGAAGGTGAAAATACATCTAGATTTTTAATAGAAGACATGCCAAAAAGCTTCTCTTCAGGAGAGAGATCTTGTTTGTCCACAAAACTACTGGAGGATTTATGAAAGACATCCCCCTCCTTAATAGGTTTAGCACAGAGTAAATCCTCTCTTTTTTGTAAAAGATCCCCCACTTCAGCCTTAAAGGGGTCAGAGTTTTTTGACTGCAGGTTGTCACCTAGGTTCTGTGGTTGAGCTGGATTTGCCTTAAATAGTTCTGGTGAGTTCAGGGTTACATTGTGAAAATAACCATTGGCAGAGGTGTTCTGGCCCACTGTGGATGTCTGGAGGATGTTTTGCATACGGTTGTGGGCATAGGTCTGGAACGGGTCCTTCTGAGATCTAGAAAGCTCGTCTCCATTTTCTGCAGTATTGATTTCAGGTTGAAGCTCCAGAGGTGAGCTTTGGAATTCAGGCGGAGGGACGTGGAGGTGTGCTTCCTCTGAAGTTTCTTTCCTTTCATCCTGCTTTACACAACGTTTGCTGCCCGATTCCTACAACACAAAATCACAGGGACATGTGACAAGCTTTTGTGACCGGGCCAATATACAGGTCTATGCAACCCAGACACTAATAAGTTTTAGTAGCTCCCAAAGAATGACCTCTTGAAACAGGAGGGATAAAATTCATACAAACTCTGCAAGTACTGGGATACCACACACAGATAAGTCTGCAAACACACAGACATTGGGTTTGTCCACAAAAATAACTTTAGTGACTCAAATAAATCTTTAACAGTGGAACAATGTTTAAAAAAAGGCCTAACCCCAAAAGCTAAAATACTATGGTTAAGAAGAAGTTACTCCCCACTCAAGAAATACAGTGCACAACAGGAATAGGAAATGGTCAGAGGTCTACAGGTTAGAAAAAAAAACCCATAAACAAACATCACAACAATCAATCCATACCAGACCAGTCCAAACATAGGAGGGTCTTGCCTCCCTGCACCTCAAACCATTTATATACAGCTCATACACCATAAAACTTGAGTACTATACAATGAACAGGAAATATAATGCCGAGTAAGCTTCTTAACATAAAAGCACACAAGACAAAAATAAGCAAAGCAAAGCGAACAAGGCAGAGCAAAGCAGCAGTGGCCATCACTCCTTGGCTGCACGTCACCCTAACACATGTGCGATGGACGCCAACTTCTGCAGGATCACGCTTACAATTATCACCCCTGTAGAGCATGCGGTAATCCCCAAACAATCTCAAAGGGAAAGCAGGACACAGATCAACAGAGGAAGATTCACTTCAAAACAATCACAGCGGCAACCAGCACAGAAATTGCTTATCACAACAGCTTCTCCAGGGGTGGTATTTATATCCATAATCATCCCAGCAAATTGCTCACGGGGCGGTATAGGCGTGGCCAACCTGCCGGTTACAAGTGCTTATGAAGAGTCCATATATCTCCACACCACAAGTTGTTGATAAACACAAACACACCTCCCCCTTTGGCCTTACTGGAGATTGCAGTCCGGTCCCCTTGGTTCACAGAGTGACTCAGTAGCTAAACGACGGATTCTAGGATTTTGTCTGAAAGCCAAGTCTCGGTGAAAATTAGAGCGCAGCACTCTCTTATTTTCCATTGTGTTGTAGCAAGTGGCTGGGTAGCAGTGGTCGGCTACGCAGGACCCTCAAGCTCCCAGGCCTCTGGTAGAGGACCCGAGCTTGAAGGAGGGAATACAAGACCGCCCCAGAGTGGGGAATTTATCTGAAGCTCTGTTGTGATCAAAACAATTCTCTGTACAGACATACCAAATAATACGCATAAAAAGGGTTCCTTCTGGTCAAATCCCCATCGACTCCATTCTGATAAAGGGGGAGAAAAAAAGAAACAGAAGTGGAATAGGTTATGTAAGTCACCCGGGCTGTTGAGAGATTGCTCCAACAGAGTCAAGCCAGCATCTAAAAACATACCTGAGGGCTTGAATAGAGCGACTCCTGCACTCTGTTCTGAAAGACCGTGACATAGCACAAATGTTACTTGTTGAGCAGCTGGCATTGTGTACAACAAAACAAAAGAAAGGGTGTGTACACCTGTGCTGAAGAACGTAGCCTATCCTCTATCTTAACACCATTGGGTGTTATGATCCAACACACGCTGCAAGCTACCAATTAAAAATGATCCATTTCATAAGGCAAAACTCCGGTAGACCAGACCAAAGGTCAGTTACTCTAAAGCCATATTTTATGGAGTGAAGCATGAAACTCTCACACCAGCTTTTTCACCCATTTTATGCCATTTTCCTGCAACAATTGCTATGTGTGCTGTTACAACACAACTGGGAGCATCTTTAAAATGCACTCGGTAACATGCAGGTGACGTGTTGGTCTTTGACGAGGATTCCCAACCTGCCCTGTCATATACACCGAGCTGAAAACTGCTGTTAAGAGTGACTGCTAACCTGTGTGGTTTGAGACTCATTCACAGATAATCCACTGGAGTCAGAGGATGACGAAACAAGAGTCTGAGAGAGAAAAAAAAAAATGCTTCAGCATAACATTTTTTAAAATATGTTGTGAGGATTGTACAAGGGGTAGAAGTCAAACATGATTCCTCCACAGGATTACTGGGTGTTTAGAGTTCTATACCGCAAGTGTGTGTAGCCACTCACCTTGTATTGATTATGGAAAGGACTTTGGGAAACTTTCTTCAGCATAGTTTGTAGTGTCCCAATACTCTGTACAGAGAAAGAAAAAAAAAAAAATGAAGACAATCATTAGCGTCTCACTTTTCTTAGTTGTCAATAGTCTTAAAAAAGCAAACAAAAAAAAAATCGATTGTTTAAGGTGTGGCTTAAATATTTGGATTATAATTAAAAAAATAAATAAAATAAATGCTAATTAAAATTTTGTCGCTTGCCAAAAATATGTCAAAGCCAAATCAGAAGTGTTGCATGATAATAGCAAACTATGTAGTCATGGAAAAACATCCATCAGTCACAGACATGGCCGTGAGAACAGCTGACATCACCATGAATACGTGTCAGCCACTCACGCTAACAAACACCGTGCCAGCAGTACAGGGAAACGCAATGCACTGTCCCACACGTCCTTAACTGATTAGGTTGTTTGTCTGTTTGATGACAATGTTAAATTGTGAAACAAGGGAAACGGTAGGAGGACGAGTTTTAGGGAAGACCAACTCGTTTTTCCATTCCAACACACAGGAGTGATGGAAGAAACTCAAAACCTTCACTTAAAAGTGTTGTAGTACTTGAAACAAGGACTTAGACAAGTCCAGATTTTCAGGTGACTCGAGAATTGACTGCGTTACTCAAAAGTTGAAGAAAAGGACTTGTTATGTATAGGCCATAACAATTAATACTGTTAAGATATTAAAACATGTTCCCCCACACCATGCTGCATCCTTCACTCTTCCACTGAAGCATGCACTCCTCCAAAACACTTTGCTCTGTTCACTTCTAAGTATTGTGTGTGTGTTTGGTCTCACACACACACACACACACACACAATAGGAAAATTCTGTTTAAAATGGTGAGAGCCCTGTCAGTTGTATTTAACGTAAACATCAATGACTCAGACAAAAAGGATTCAACTGAGCCTATTGTTTGGCAACTCAGACTCAAACTGTACTGGAGGTTTAGTGACTCAACCACCAATACAAAGTAAAATGCTCAGTTACAAGTCCTGCATTCACAAAGCTAAAAGTACAGATGTACTATCAACCAACTTTAAAGTGTTAAAAGTACTTTGACTGATACCACTACTTGATTATTAAGCAGCATTTTTCTGTTGCAGCTGCCTGAGGTGGAACTAATTTTACATACCCTGTACACATTTAGCTTGTTAAGTCCAGCTATTCCTCACCTAGGTGTCCAGTCCTCCAGAGACAAATCGGAGGGATCGTGAGATTTAAAATAAAAAAAAATTGATAGACAAATCCGTTTAAGTTTTTGCATTGTTCTCTTAGCTTACTTTATGTGGAACCCTGGATCATATGAATGGTTACTGAAATTAAATCATGAGAAATTTGCAAGGAGGCACAAACAATTCAGACACAGCTGAAATGTGATTAAGGGTTTTTTTTCTTGCAGAGTTTTGCAGGGGGTCTTAAAATAAAATCAATCTGAAAACTGCTAATTGCAGCTGCCAGATAAACAGCATACAGTGCATTAATATGTAGATATTTTCCTCTGAAATGTAGTGAAGTAACAGTGCTCGCGTAAATTAACTGGCACATTTAATAACACAGACCAAATTTGCAATACTCACTGATCTTCTTTCCCCAGATGCAGTGTTGGCTGTTGCTGCACTCTCTGCATGATCGTCCCCCTCCACACCGTTCCCCTAATAAGCATTAATTAGAAAAAGGAGACGAATACAACCTCACAGACAACTCTCAAAAACTGTAATCAGGCTTACAACTCACTTTTCTTCGGTTGAAACACCACAATTAGCTCGCATCAATCACAAACTGTTCACTCGGAACTAATTGAAACAATTCAAGACTTACTGTGATTACATCTCCATTCATGGTCGGTAAAGCTGCTTTAATATTTGAGTGTTTGCAAACTTAGACCAGAGGATTTTTCCATAGATGCGTTAAAGCGCATCAGCTTATCTTCTTCTTAGGTTAAGCTGGGCCGTTCTGGTTATTGTCACGACTCACCTGCTGTCACTTGGACGCACCTGTGTCAAATCAGTCGCGGGAAACGCCTAAACGAGAAATTTTCAAAATAAAGGCTTTTTTTTTTGCAGTCTCCTAACTGTTTGGCTTAAATTACACAGGTCTCTAACATATCCATTAACTTCATTTATCAGTGCATTCAACATTTATTAGCACTTCCTATAGGTTATTTATTTGACCCTCATAATTGTCTTCAGTGCAGAGATTCGGTGTAGAACTCCAGAAAATCCCCCCACAAATTTTAGGTAAATAAAACCAGGATGTACAGGGCATTCATATATTTCCCAGATTTAAAACTTATCAATTAAAACAGCTAAACTAAAACCCAGTGCTGTCAGAGTCTCATGCCTGAGGAAGGCTTACCTCACCATCAGGGATGGTCTATGATAAATGAACTTGAATAGCTCTTTTCTAAGTAATTAAGCACACTCAAAGTGCTTTACAATGTTTTCCATTCACACTTTTTGCACAAACTCACACTAATGGCACAGCCACCAGGAGCAATTTTTGGTTTAGTATCTTGCCCAAGGTCACTTTGACACATGGACCGGAGAAGCCAGGATTCAAACCACCAACCTTTGAGCAATAGAGGTTCACCCCTATGTGTTCCAGCGTGTCCCTCAGAAGCCCCGGCTTCTGAGAACACAATTCTCTGAGTGCTCCCAGGCTTCTCCAGGTGAGGAAAGAGCTCTGTGTAAGAGGTAGATGATGGAGTCATCCACCAGGTGCCAGGCTGGTTCAAAATGGTACACTATGCACTCTTATTTTGAAGGAAAAGCCTCAATACTTCCAGTCTCTTGCTAGTTGTACTGGTTTGAGAGGTTACTTTTGCCCCTTATTTTCTTCTTCTCAATGCAAACCGACCGGTTGTCCTCACCCAGCTCAACCGGGCGGTGCAGTCCAGGTGTGTTGACAAATAAGGAAGCTCTGCAGTGTTTTCCTCTAAAACATCTAACAAGTCACATGAAAACAAACACAGCAAAACATTCTGTTTCATAATAGATAAAACAGATAATAGATAAAATCTTTTATCACAGTAAAGCATCAAGAATTATTTTCAGCTACCCAGCCCAGGTTGCATGTTAAAAATAGCTATGCTATTCTTTTAGCCTCCAGGCCTTTTCTGTCAACAGGTTTTTCTGATGAACGTGAATAAACTGAGTCTGTAGTTTACATTACATGATACTGGTTTTGCACTCTCAAACTTAAAAACAATTCATAGGTGTCATAAAACCAGTTTAAAACATGCATTTGAAGCTTTTCTTTTAAGAGTGAAATGCATTTTCAAATGTATTTAAGTAAAATGAAGATAGAAGTGGGGACTACAGTCCGGCAATGCAGTGAAAGTGAGTAAATATTGCTTTAAAAAAGAAGACAGGAGAGTTTTTGTGAATAAAGCTAACAAAGGTTTGTGTGTGTGTGTGTGTGTGTGTGTGTGTGTGGCTAAAATAGTTTTATAACCTTAAGGACATATTTATTATTGTAACCATGACAGTGCATTAAGCACTTCTTGTGTAAAGCATTTGTTACATAACTAGTAGGAATGTAGACAAGCCTACAGCTCTGGAAGGTGAGAGACAGATTTTCTTTAGAGAGTCCTCAAAGTGATAGCTGCAAAGAAACCTTGCTTTATTCATCATATACAATAGCTATCTATTGTATCGTAAGAGTCCCATGCAAACAGTTTTAAAATGTTTTCCACAGCTGTTGACTGGACATGTGTGTAACTGGGGGTGTGACGAGATCTCATGCCACAAGATCTCACGATATTAAAACGTGATGATGTTTATTGTCAAAGTGAAAAACTGTCTCGTGATATCAGCATATAGCATGACGGAGGGTGAGGGTGAAATTAGCATAAAGGATGCCCCCGCCGCTTCTTTATATTCACTCTGTGGAAAGGGGTTCACAGCTTCAGTTAGAAGTTAGAAACTCATGCATAGCTCATGCACAGTTGTAAGGTCTGAAGGGACTTGTGTGAAATCATACAGGACAGAAGCCAGTCAGCTGAGTTTGTGGCAAAATCTTTTGCAGTGCTTGCAGATTGTTGTCTTTTACTGCATATGATGATTCAGAAAGTAGAAATGAAGTGACATTCTTTAAGATGATTTGTTAAAACATTTCAAAATGCACCTGCATTGTTTTGCATTTTGTGACTTTCAGTAGAATAAAGCACCATTTTCCAGTCGTATATTTTGTTATTTAAGATTGCTTCAAAAATAGTGTTAAATATCATTTCATCTTGTTCTTATGAACCCAGTCTCATGTATCATCTCATCTTGTGAGTCAAGTGTATCGTCACACCCCTAGTTGTAACATTATTTGTCCAGCAGGAGGCAGAAGCTTTTTAAAGACTGTTAATCACGACTCTGTGAGAATCTGTTATTTCTGGATCTGTAACAGATTTTGTAGTTCATGATCAAATCTGTTTCCAGCAATAGAATCCAAAGCTCAGCCTCAAAAGTGTAAACTCAATAGTTTTAGCTCATTTTATATTGCTTTGCCATAAGATAATGAAAGAATATTTTAGCAATTTGGAAAACAGGAAACCTCTTAAATTTAAATAATCTAGAAGATTTTTGGAGTGATTTGTGTCACAAACTTTGCTGTAGCCTGTACAAAACAAAGTCTGGCCAAAAGGTAACTAAAAGCATTCACAAGTAAATATCAAATGTGGCTCACAATGATCTGTTGTCATACCAAGTTTGCACAAGGCACCAGACTTCACAGATCACCACCTTCGTACTGTGCTATCAAGAAGTCATGACAGTGAAAGGAAAAATAACAGTGGAACCATAGGGGAATTTCGTTGTAATCAACAATCATGTTTGCCAAGGCCTGGTGTGGCTTTTGGCATTTTCTATTTATGGTTATCACATGTACCAAAGGGAGGAGAGCAGCAAGAAAAGGTGGAAGTTAAAAGTTTCCGACTGGCTCAGACAACCATTACACACAGATCAATCTCTTGTGGAGTGTTTTAACTCCCAGTACAGGAAGATACTGCACCCTACCTTGGACCATTTTCAGGTAATACAATAATGCTGTATCTAAAAACATGGGTTTCAGTCATCTTGAACTAGTTTGAGTATTTTATAATATTCTATTATATATTTCATACTGATTACCTCTTTTTTAGTATGTGCATTTGTCTGTCAACTAATCATATTTCTATTCAAATTAATTTAAAAAGAAAACTTAAATATGTGATCTGAAGGTCTCTCAACTAACTGGATAAATACCTCTAATCAGTGTGCAAAGTATTTGCATTGCAGGTAAATACAAAGTGATACAGTATGTGTATTTATAATAAGTCATGTAGATAACAAGAAGTCCAGTCCATTAAAAATGAAACAAAAAGTACAGCAGGACATTCCCACAGGGCGGTGCCCAGGTAGAGAATGAAACAAAAACAAATAAAAGAACATATCAAATGCTTTGTTTACAGGTCATCTTAGGTGTCATACAACTATACATGCCCTCTCATCTTTAACAGGTTAACAGGTGAGTATCATTCTATTATAACACATTAAAGGAATTAATAACAACAATTACTCTACATAATATAATGATCAGTTATAACACCTGTGTTTTCATGTATATTTGTTAATATCCGATTGTCAGTAACAAGACTGTATAGTGGAGAGAATAAAAATATAAAATAAAACATATAAAAAAGGCATTTTAACTAAACTTGATAGTTATAAATTACCACAAATTTGTGCTGTAGACATAACACATCCATCAATATTACCTTTTAATGGCTGCACTATTCCTGAACTTTAGCCATTAGAAATTGTGTATTCGTTTCAAGAAATGTCAAAACACAAATTTTTCCATTTCTGTTTTGACCAGATTTGACAGTTCTTCAGTAAAATGGATGAATTTGACACACCACTTGAAAGAGTCACACGTTTACTCATTGCTCAGAGTTTGTCTCCAAATGATGAGGAAAATCTCCTTCTCCAAAAGCTGCAAGGACTGGTTACAAATATCAAATGGAGCCCAACCGATGCTGTCAAATTGTTTGATGCCCTTCTGAAACGATTTCATTCAACAGCAATTGACAGCTCACATCTTGTCCCATGGATGTTAGGCATGTTGCATTGTATTGAGATTAATTATATCACTTCAAGCTGGAGATATCAAACTGAAAAGACACTTACTGACCTTCTCCAAGACGAGACTGTAACAGATGAAAATATCAAGAAATATTTAGCCGATGACAGAGGAAAGCAACTGGATGAAATTCTTGAGGAAATCCGCCAACAAAAACTAAACCAAATTGATGAAACGCTTTTAGAAGCAATTAGAGATATTGTATCATCAGTTGTTAATGATCTTAACAAAGGGCTTACTTTAAATAATGATGGATCACAATGGATTGACCTGAAAAAAGCCTTGCTGTGTCTCTGCAGGGCAGCACAAAAGGATTACTTCACACCACGGCTGACGCAGATGGTGAGCTGGTGTCTCATGGCTCTATCCAATACAGGGCGATTAATCCAGGTTGGCACCGGAGAGGGAAAGTCATGTATCGTGGAAATGTTTGCAACTTTTCGAGCTTTGAAAGGAGAAAAAGTAGATATCATGACCAGCTCATCAGTTCTTGCTGAGAGAGATTCCAGGGAATGGAGCAAATTTTACAAAGCTTTGAACATCACTGTCAGCTGCAACACCAACAAACAAGACAACGACTTAAATAAGTGCTATCAGTGTCAAGTTGTTTATGGTACTGTGGAACAGTTTGCTGGAGACTGGCTCAGGCAGCACTTTCACAAGAAGGACATATTTGGACAAAGGACATTCCAGTGTGCAATTGTGGATGAAGTGGATTCCTTGATGCTAGATAAAGGTCTCCATGTGGTCTATTTAAGCAGTGATATGCCTGCTTTGCAACATCTCAATCCACTCTTGGCATTCATATGGGCCACTGCTAATCGGTACAGTAAGATTGGCACAGAGATAACTGTGGGGCCAAAATATCTCTTTCATGAAGTTGTGCTTGAAAACATAACAAATGTCAAAG